AAAGAGACAGATTTGCTATTTTAAGTGCACAATCACGATTTGGCAGGAACGACCAGAGCAGGCAGTCCTGTCCCAAGTTGTCTCTTTCAGCTGCCATAGACTAATAGCCCTCAAGAAAATATTCATCATGGTCATCAAGCTGTTTTATCATCATCAAGTCTGGTGTCATTAAAAAAAACCAAAAACAATCCTACAAAAGCAACACGAGATTCTTCTTCACCAATCCATTTGTCAGACAGCATTATTTTATGAAGCTTGGAACTGTAGAGCTAATGGGTTTTAATTATGACTGTGCTTAAAAATACATGGATTTAATCTTCTTCCATTAAAGGCATGCTCACAGCCACGAGTTTGCTCTCAACAGTAAAATGAACAGGACAAGTCCCAGTATCTTACTTCCTCCCTCACCATCTGCTCTGTGCTCTCAGGCTCTCCAAGGTCAAATCGCCTTTAGGGATTCAAATCAGAGATAAGATGGAGATGACATTTCTAATCTTTTCTACACAGAGACAGAATTTATTAGTTTTGGATACAAGAAGCTTCATTTCCAGTACGAGTGAACTGAATACGGAGCTAAAATAAATAATCCGTTACCTGGTATGTTTGGTGAACTGCATCAGCCAGAACCCCCAGTTGTAAGAGCAAGCATTGCCAAGACTGACTAAAGGAATTTTAGACTGTATGTTGGACCTCACATTCAAGAAGGGAAGGCTTTTAAGGGTAAACAAAGAACTTTCTTGTTTTTTTTTCTTTTTTTTCCACCTCAAAAGTAAACACAAAGTAATAGAAAGTGTTCCATTCCTGGCTCTGAGAAACTTCTCCTTAACTTTAAGGGGTAGTGCAGTCAACTCAGAATACTCCTGAGAATGATCATTAAAATAAACAAAACTAGAGCTAAGAGGTTAGTCCTGCCAAACCTCCCCTGCCCACACCCCACGGCACAAAGCACCGGAGTCCCTGATGGCAGAACCAGTGCCATTCCCACTGGTAGCGTGACGCAGAGAAACTGCACTGCAGAAAGCTGTGGTATGCCCTCAGTTTCCCCCACAAACACTGTGCTACTGGTTTTAATGGGTTAAATGCAGTAAGAAAGAGGACTAGGGGTTTAAAAATAGGCCAGTCCATTTTTTCCAACATGTGATAGGAACACATCATTCTACCACAGCCTCAGCTTGTAAGGGCTGTCACCAGCTGGCCCTCCCCCTAGCCTGAAGGAGAGCGTTTTCCTCCTCTCACAAACACAGCCTGTAATTCATACCATAACTCAGCCTATGCAGAAGGAATGAGGATTTAGCCAGGAGGCCACAAACCCCCATAAAGACAGCCCTGACTATGGCAGTCTTCAGGCTGCCTGATTCGTTTCACTAGATTCCTTCATGACAACTCTACAGCCAACCATCCTGACTAAATAACAGCTGGTGCAGAGGAAAAGCACTTGCTGAACTAAACAACCGGGCTGCTATTCATTGTTTGACAAGATACCTTAGCTTATGAGAACAGGTTTCCATTTTCAATGGGTCAGAAAGAATACAGGAGGCGAACTCAGGACAGCGCCATGAGGAAACAGCCCCCAAGTTTTCACACACAGAAGCATCTTCAAAGCAATGAAAGAGGCCACCGCATTATTTGGCCATCTGAAAAACTTTCACATATTTAGGCTCAGAAGCAGAGTGAGTGAAATACTGAAGGAACCCTTAATTACCCCTTTTGAAGATATTTGCATTTCATCCCACTAGAATATATAAAATGCCTCCCTTCCAATGCGAGGTAAAGGGATAAGAAGATGCTGCTGGAGCAGCATCACAAGCCAGAACCCAGCACCTCTAAGAGTCAGAGGAGGCTTGCCAGAATGGAGGGCCTAGCTCACAACACCTTAAAGGTGATTTCTCCCTTTATTCCTTGCAAGAACAGTTCTTAGAAGCCTTGTAACATCTTCTGGAGAGTTGCACAGATTCTGATGAAGTACATGTTAGCTTCACTTCAGGAACACAAGATAAACAGAAAAGCAGAGTGAATTTCAGTAGCAAACTACCTGGCACTGATCTACTCCCTCTCTGTAAGGCTTAGGGGAAAAAAAAACCAGACAAACAGGTGTTCCAGATGTATACATCTTGAAAAGTCTACATGTGTCCTTTTCAACAAATTTATCACATATTTAAGATTCTCTGGTGATTTATGCTCCTCCTCAGTACATTTTTTCCCTGTTCCCTCCACATGCTGACAATTCTTTAGTCCCTCTTCCCCTCAGTTTTGTCCCCCTTGAGCTCATTTTGGAGTGACAGAAGTCAGAACAGGCATGTGGAGCAGGTGTTCAGCTTTACAGTCCTGCAAAAGAGTTATAATGGCATGGTTTTTGTCTCTTTAAAAATCAGGCAGGAAAAGCACTGTTCTGGCGAGTTTTGCTCTGACAGAGCAATCAAAGTGTCAGAGAAGCCGGAGAGCTCCCAGCAAGCCAACCTAATTGTGTGCTCCTGATTTGTTTTAAGGGGTTCTTAATTGTAAATACTGAAAGAACATCTAATCCAGCCAAAATCTAGGAACACCAGCTATGTTGCTTACTGGCCTACAGAAACATGTCATTATTGCTTTCTGCTGACACTCTCTCCAGGAAAGAAAATGTTTTATTCAGTTGTTAACTTTTTATCATTAGGGACACCGCCAGTGGAAATCTGCTTCTTGTTAACTCATTTTCCATGAGCTTCAGCAAGTTTTAAAAAAATAAAACAAAAAACTTCAAACAAACAACAAACCTGTACATGAGAAAACTCACTAGCCTACAACAAAGCGGTCATGGAAAAGATGTCTCATGTCATAAATAAAACAAAAATTTCCCCTTCTTAGTACCTTAACAGTAAAACTACAGGCAAATATTTCTGGACTGCAAACATACATAAGAATCAGATTTCTCCCTCTGTTCCTTCACTCAGGAAGCCCATTCCTGTGGTTTCTATTAGCCTATTGCTATTGCAAAAGGAAGGCTCAGATGCTTCGTTTCCCCAAAAAAGGGGAAGACAGTTATGGTTCCTGTAATGCTCTACTACAGGATCTTTGAATACGTAAGTACTTTATACACAGCAGATCAAAATGCCTTGCATCTACCTCTAGAAAGTTCCTCTCTTATGAAGACAGACTGAGAGAGTTGGGGTAGTTCAGTCTGCAGAAAAGAAGGCTCCGAGGAGATCTTATTGTGGCCTTCCAGTATCTCAAGAAAGCTGGTGAGGGGCTTTTTAGGATGTCGAGTAGCGGTAGGACTAGAGGGAATGGACTGAAGCTAGAGATGGATCGGTTCAGATTGGACGTTAGGAAAAAGTTCTTCCCCATGAGGGTGGTGAGACACTGGCACAGGTTGCCCAGAGAGGTGGTGGAAGCCCCGTCGCTGGAAGTTTTTAAGGCCAGGTTGGATGGGGCTCTGAGCAGCCTGATCTAGTGGGAGATGTCGCTGCCCATGGTAGGAGGGTTGGAACTAGATGATCTTTAAGGTCCCTTCCAACCCTGGCAATTCTATGATACAGAAAACAGCACTTAAACATAAGCTTACTTATTTAACCTTGAGGTCAGCACAGCAGCCCAGCTCCCATCAACAGCATTTCCACAATGCTTCATCCAGAACTTAGTTACAAGACCAGTTTGCCATTTTACATGCTACTGGATAAAACAGGTAACTTTGCACTCCCCCAGGTGTGAAGAAGGTTATAGAGTTCACGGTCCCACAAGACTTTTCTGACTGCAAGCCCAGTCCCAAAAAGACTGAAGCAGCCAGTATCGTCACTGCTCCACGCTACTGGATCACCTCTGACAAGCCAGGCTGACAGGAAATCTCATTTTAGTAGAAGTGTATGCGGCGTTCTACAAGTCCTCCCTTCTAGAGTCTCTATTTCCAAGGATGAGAAGACCTTTGACTATTAAAAAAACCTTGAAAAACACAAACCAAACATACTGTACAGGTTTAATCTAGAAAGCACTAAAACGCACAAAGTATAGTAACACTCAGATGTACGATGCATGTGATTAAGTCAATTTAATATTTTTGGGTTGTTGTGTCTCTAATCTTTCCCCAAATTTTAAAGGGAAACAATATTAAATTGCCTTATTCAGAAGAAGTTTGCAGGAAGGGGGAAGGACTTGAGCCAGAAGAACCAAAGAAAACCTCAAGTTTCCACAGTATCTCTTTTCAGCTTTTTTGAAAGCTGTTTAAAATTTCCTAACAGGGCCATTGAGGTTCAAGGTTTTCAAGTCTAACTCTGAGTTACAAGTGACCACCCAGTATTTAAAGCAAAGCAACTTCCCTTATATGTTTTCAGAAAACATTCCTTACACATTTTCTGTATGTTTGCATCTTCTTAGAACACGAAAATGATTAAAGGTTACCATGCAGTTTTCCATGCAGTTTTTCTCCATCTCTTCCCCTTCCTCTTAAAGGGACTGTTTAAAGTAACTGATGTTATAAATAGAAGAAATCTAACTATTTCATTGTAGTTCATTGTGGAGGTTTCTGCATATGACAAAACTCCCTGTACCAACAGCATCAGGAACTGCCAAAGATCACTCAGGACTGAAACGGCTAAAACAGTATCCCTGCAGACTAAGGAATGCAAGCAGGATATTGTATCCTGCAAATGCCAATCAGTGGGCACCACCATCACGCCTGGCTTTAAATAAGGCTCCCTTCCTCTCATTCTTGATCCATAAATCCACATGGATGTTTCAAATGGAAACGTCTGTCTACTGACAACGTATCTGGATGTCAGAACCTGCATGCAGCTACAGTGGATGCAGCCACTTCCTCTTCTTGACAATTCCCCAAATCCTTCACTGGCATTTCATTGAAGAAAAGTGGGGTCACTAATAAAAGAATAAACAGCATTTCCTTCTCAGCAGCTGAATCCTTGCTTCTGTTTATCTAGGGAAGATTCTGTAAACAAAAGCAACCAGAAGACTCGACATGGAAATGCTAGATACTCCGTTGTGCTATTAGTATTACAAACTCATTTTTGGCTTACCATGGATTCACTGATTAAGAGGAGGAGAAGAGCCTCTTCTACGTTGTCTTGAGGGCAGTACACACTGAAAGATAGAAGACATTTTTCTGAGGAAGGTCAAGAGTTATCCTGTCAGTCTCTTTCTCATTTCACAAGAGAAGCAGTAACTTGAAACATCTCATGCATAATTCATTTGCTAAGCAATACCTTCTTTTGCAGGTTCACACAATTAAAAGCTCTGTGATACATCCTAAATGAGATATACTGAACTATAAATAGATTATTTCCATTTCATAGCAAAGACAGCTATTTGGTTGGATTTTCTTCCTTCCTGGGGAAAAAAAAAATTAAATACTCAAGGTTTAACGTTTTATTTTCCAGCAGGCTTTTTGATGGGAAGTAAAAAACAAGAACACACAAAACTGCTACACAAATCAGTCATGTAATTAGCAGTACCAAAGAGTGTTTAAACACTCTCCTTTATCTTGCCAATAAACCGAAATAAAAAAGAATGCTTACTTCTCTTCTGTATATAGCTCAGGCCTCCGACAAAGAAGATTGCTAACATAAGACTGATCTTCCTTGTTCATGAACTCAGGAAGCGGATCAGATAAAGGGCTCCAGTAACAGTCTTCACTGAGGGAATGGAGAAGTACTTGGGCTAGTTGTCTGGCTACAGTCTAGAGATCAGCGAACAGTACAAAAAAAGACGTATCAGTAAAGTCCTCTTCAGCAGGTTCATCCCTCCTCATTTTCCACCCTGGGAATAAGATGTACCAACAACATGACAGCACCACTTTTCAGAAAGCTAAAGTAGTCAGAACAGCTACCAAAAAGTCTATAGCACTGGAGTTTCTTCCCTCCTCTGTAAAAGGGTGGCCTTCTGCATTTACGTAGTCTTGTTGCAATGCTGCAGGAAAAAAGTATCAAAAAGGTCTGACAGCAAGGGATGCTTTGGTGAACGAAGGCAACTGATTGCCACGTAGACACTAGAGTATGACACTCCACTGTGTTCTCAGCCTCAGAGTTTTGTAAGCAAGCCTCATCTCAGAGGCTGCTTTCATATTAGGTTTAAAAGATCAACCCGTTAGCTGTTAATATCACTCTTCCTGCAGCCTTTTATAGCTTCATCTTGGTACCACTTCTCTCTTTTTGTTGCATTAACGGAGGGAGGAGAGAATAGAGTTAGGAACTTTTTATTGAGACAGCAACATCCCATGTATTTTTTTGACCATCAAGTGGCCAAGGACCCTCAAATACTTGCTTTCCTATTCATACCTATAGCTGACAAGCTGGGTCCAAAAGGGGGCAAGTTAACTTGTCTTTGCAAAACTCTCTCTGGCATTTGTCATTGTCCCCCACCCAACAAATCTCTTTTTTTGCACTGTAAGTAGCTGAACACACAAACAAGCACAGAGATGTCAAAATGGGTGGGATCTTCTGTGAATCCTAAGCAGCACAGCACTCTAAGCGCAAAGCACGCTGCACAGAACAGAGGCAGGCTGGAACTTCAGCCCTTCTGTCCCAATACTTGCAAATACTATTTTGGAACTTTTCTGACTACTATATTTGTAATTCATATGCAATTTATACTTTGAGATGTGTTATGAGGCCACCATGACTCATTTTCCTTAAAATACCAGTATAGCTAAGATGGATAAAACAAAGCATTACTTCACTTGCGGTATGACACCTATACGACCAAATAAATCATACTGAGGTTGAAGTTCCTGTTATCAGATTCAGAAAAGTAATTTATTTTGATGCAAAGTTTTTATCTACATCCACTTCATCACCTGTGAATTCACTGTTGAAATGCAACCACAGTAGCACGCGCTGTTTCTTAAACACCAGAAAGGGAGGTTTCCTCGATGCACCTAGCAAATGGCAAAGCGACCGGGATGTACAATGGTGCCTCAAAGAAGTATCATCACATACCACTCCCTGGAAACCCCAAGACCTTCTATGCCTGCCTACTAACAAGTTATAGAAAGCCTTCTGTTTCTAATGAGGCTTTTCTATGCTTTTTATAGCAAGTAACCATGAGCAAGATGGCCTAGGGCCCTGTGACATTAGCCAGTATCATTTTATCATCTCAGTGTGTAATTATTTAGTCAGTTTTACCCTGAGGAGCCAACTCTCCTATATTTTTTTCCTACAGTCTTAGAGGGGAGGGGAAAATAATACGCGAGCAACAGAAAGATCTCTACTGGTTCACACAGAAGTAGTAGTACAGTTTGTGATAAGCCTTTCAGAAGGCAAGCACCAAATACTTTTAGTGTCTTTGATTTTAATATCCAGTACAGTAGCTGTGTAAATTAGCTTCTCTCTTGTTTTGAATAAGACCAAACAAACCAGAACAGGCCAAGGCTCTGATTTATGTTATTACTGCCTTTGGCTAAAAAAAGCATCATTATGCTTGAAGAACACTGTGATCCCACAAATTAGAAAAAAATCATGTGTTTCACTTTCATGCTTGAAAAATTTGTTTAATTAAGCACGTTCCTCCCTTTGCCCTCTTGACAGCTCTTTAAAAGTAAGAAAATGAAAATGCAACTTCCAGTGAAATGGAAATCCCAGGAAAAAACACTGCATGAACATCTTAGTATTTCCCCTTAGGGATAAATTCCCCTGGGGTGTGGCACAGTTCTACCTAGTTATATAGGGACAGGAGCATTTTGAGTGCCATGTTCTGTAATGGTATAGGAATAGCAGACTGGTAAACTCATTTCAGCAAAATGGTGAGCAAGAAAAATCCCCTGAATCCTGATCTCAATTTGCAAAAGAATGCAATCATTTGAGAGTGACAATCATCTAAGTCATCTCTTCTAATTCTCTGCATAAACTTCTACACGCATCTATATTCTCAGTTAGGCACAGAAGATGACCCCAAGGTAACAAGATTCATTTCCAGAACAGAAGTTCCAAAATACATAGATGTGATGAACCTAGGCAAGAGATCACCCACAATACCCTTCCTGCTCACACTTTCATTTTAGTTTTGAGTTTGCATGTGAGTAAGACATAGAGTCCATCCATTGGAAGCTGGTACTCTCCATCTCCAAAATGCTGTGCAAACTCATGCTTACTTCCCTTGTCAAACTTTTTCAGAATTACACAAAATAAGAATCTGAACCAAGCACAAAAACATTCTAGTTTTATCAACATCAATGCTTTTAGGGCTGCAGAGTTTTCATTCATGTTCAAGACCCTACATGCTGTTGACCTTGTCACCTCCCGAGTAACTTCAGGACAAGATCTCTTAAAGGGGAGACAGGGAAAAACAAGTTAGACGTCTAAGAAGTTAAACAGGCACATAACTAACTTTCTCCATGATTTCTTTACCATAGGCACTCAGGCTAACAGGATGCAGAATGCCAACACCAACAAAAATGTTAATATCACTTTGCACTGTACTATATTGAAAGGAGTTTTACAGGAAGAACCTGAGCCACTTGAGTCAAAAAAGACACTGCTTGTTGCAAGAGTCAGAGGTACTTACTGCTTCTACATTCAAATGCAAAAAGGTGTGCATGCATACACTGAAAAGGGACAAATTAAACAAGGCAGTATCACCTGAGGACAGCACTGTCAAATCAAATACATATCTATTTCTATCAAGGGCTAGAAAAATCTCTGAAAAACAAAAACAAACCCAAGAGTAACCCCCATATGCCTGGGTTTGAAGGCTCAGAGGTTTCACATGGGCAGGTCTTTATAAGTGCATCACTTCATACCTCTCTTCATAAATTAAAACCAAAAAAAGGCAGCAATCAATCAAGTTAGGATAAATACATTTTTGTCCTATTGGTTAATAAAGAGAGATTTCCTGCATAGCAGGTTACCCCACTTTCCCATCTCCCTTTCCTCTTACCATTCTGAAGGTCTGAGTAGCTTTTGTTTCCACAGTCCGCAGTATTGCTCGCAGATTCCTCATTGCTTTCACAATATTTCTAAGGGGAAGGCAGGAAAAAAAAATGATTAAAAAAAAAATCCCCAAACCCAGCACATTGCACAAAAAATATTTTTATGATGCACCAAAGCTTGGCAACAAACTTGACATTCAAACAAATCCATGAAACAAACACTAATATTGAATGTACAGTAATGAGACAAGTCACTCAGAGGCACAGATAGGACAACGACACTGAGCAAGGCAGTGACTGTAGCGTGCCTACTCCAGATGGCTTCCTAGGAGAAGATCACATTCACATTTGATGAACAGAGGGGACATTTGGAAGCCTTTCATAGCTCGTTATTTATAAAGCAGATGCTCCTTCTTAAAAGCATCCACATCTCCTCTTCATACACACAGATTGTACTTGTTTGAATTATACTGAGTTTACGCAATACATTCAAATGATGATTCCTTTCAGGTGGTGCTTATGTGCCTTGAGTCTGATGGTCCAGACACATGATGAAATTACAGTGTTTTAAACAGTTTATTATCCTGCAGCTAGGTTGTAGTAAGTGTCTGCAAGCACAGCTTCACCTGCAATAGAAGTGTGTTAGGCTAAAATAAAGAAATAAATAAATCACATTACTCTGCATACACACCATGAGCAATTAGAGCAGACTACCTGCAAAATGGTATCTTAATCGTGTGTCTGAGCAGTAAGATAGATGCAGAGAAGAAAAATCAAACACTGGACGCATTAGTTAACACACGAGCAAGCCCATAAGCTCTTCAAGGTTAAGGAACATGGCCTTACCACCACAGTAACTACAAAAACATTCAGCTCACTTTCGTTACAAGATGGAAACTATGCAAAGAAATAAAGACTATCAAAAAAGGAGCAAGGCGGTACTGAAAGACAGACAGATAAGCAGTTGTACCAGTACATTAATGGCCACTTCAGATTATTCCAGGAGAATTGTCCATGCAGACAAAAGTCAGATTTTGTTAAAAAGCAGCCATTCACCATGATGTTTTCCATCAATCTGATAAAATTTTGAAGGTAAGCAGTACAGACTGCACTGGTGTCCATATTCATGCACTGCAAGGGGATGGAGGAAGGGTGTGAATAAAACATGACCACATTTATCACAAATATTGGTTGCATACAAGGCCACCCTAAAGTTTATGGTCACCAAGTCACAGAATGCAAATGCATGTGGCCTGACTTCCAATCAATACTCCTCTCAAAATATTAAAGTTTGAGGTAATCTACAGATTACCTACCTGTGGGCAATCTACAGACAAGCAACAAAGTAAAGCAAGAGCAAAAATGCTGGAAACTTGCCCCTGTGGAAAAAGTCAGACACTGTCTTTTTTTCCTTCAACTTTCTCATGAGTAAACGACCTGCTTTGAATTTAGCATGGGAAAAAAGCTCAAGGAAGTTTTTGTAAGTCAGACTTCTGCTTCTGCAAGCTCTCCAATTTCAGGCCCAAGACATCAGGTGCTTTTCTGTGGGTCTAAGAAAGAACAGACCCACAAAGATGCAGTTCTGGTCCTTAAACTGAAGAAATCAGTAAAGCACTGGTTTATGGACATGAGTAGTCACAGTAAATCCAGCAGAATTGTTCATAGGCTATTTATTATCAGATAGTCCAAATCAATAAATTCCCCCCATACAAACAAACTGCATCTATCCAACTGCTCTCCTCAGTTACTGAAAACTACAGTCATTTCCTATGCTTCCCTGGGCTTCTTAAGAGCCTGGACAGGTAACAGTCCTACATTTTCAAAAATGAGTATGTTTAGATTTCGTGTTAGGATAATGGTATTTGTCACAATGAAGTGTCAATGAATTCCATTAACTAGCATCAGAAGGAGATCAGTGGCGACGTTCAAAGTCAATTAATTCCTCATTTAGCACATATTTTCTAGGTGTTTCATGGCCTGAAGTATGTTAAAAAGAGAGAGTTTTGTTCCCAGAAACCTAGAGCACCATTTCAATTCCACTTTTTAGACAAAATCATAAACGAAGTTAAGCTTCATGGCAGAAACATCTCGCCCTGGGGGAAAGGAGAAAGGAAAAAGAAGTAACACTGACACACTGAAGTGAATGAAAGAATAAATGGCAAATTGCTGCCCATCTGCCAATAACCAGTGTTGAAACCATGAACTACATGACAAGAGCCTGGGAACATCTTCAACAGAAAGTAGGAGTGCAAAATGGGCTGCACAGAAGGAGCCCTCAGCACTCACCATCTCCTAGACTGGCACACCTGTGTCATCAGGCTCTCTCAGAGAGCACTCGCTCCACGCTCTGAGCTCTTACCTCTGAAACATGCAGAGCATCTGACAACAATACCAGTTTTACAGCACTGAGGATTTGGATTGGCAGCTCTTATATTATGAACCTTATCAAACGTTGTTGAGCCACGACAGGAGACAGAGCACACCTGCAGCAGTCTGCAAACAAACCTCACCACAGGCATTTGTCTTTCCACTCTAGTGTTCCAAGCCAGAAGGCCACCTGAGAACACATTTCATCTTAAGCATAAGAATTGCTCTATGATAAGGAACTTACTGTTCTATTAATAGATGTCCTTCCCATACTGAATGTGCACTTGAGATCTTTTTTAAATAATGACCTAAAGAAGTTAAAAAGAAAAGCATGTATCTGAACACAAATACCTGTATGTAGATAAGTGGATGATGATGCAAATACAAAGCCTTTGGCAATCCATAGTGAATCCATTTGATCTTGCATAGATCAGAAACTAAGCAATCTCGAGCCTCTGCAGGACTTGGATAGAAGACTATCTAGAAATCCCAGGTATTGTTACTGCAAGCCATGGCATCATAACTGAACATCAGATCGTGAAAATTAAATGAGGTGGAAGAGTCCATGGGCCCCTGTTGCACTAAGATGCCAGAAATGAAATGAGGGGAAAAAACAGGAAGGGAAAAGCACATGGTCATTAAAGTGCCTTGGTTTTAGCCACAAAACTGGCAAGAGAGGCATTTACGAAAACATGATAAAACGTGATTCTGGAGTCAATTGTAGCTAATCTAATAAAAAGGAACACAGAAAATCATGAGCACAAACCGTGACAAAGAGCACCTTGAGTCCAGTCAATCCAGCTTGGCATGAAAGGCCGTTTTATATGTACAAGTACCCTGTTAATACCGGATAATTAATTACCAGCCCATGAACCAAAGCAATACATACCACATTTATGTCATACTGTTTAGTTAACACTATATAAAATTTGAAGATATAAGAAAAAAAAAAAGCCATACACTGTTTTCTATGAAAATTGCTGAGAAAATACTTAAAATGAACCAAAGCAAACCATGAGTATAGAGGTCTGCAAAGACAGCCCCCAACAATATGGGCACCAGGAGATCATGGCCTTGTCCCTGCTCATTAACTGCTAAAAGTAGCCACTAATGAATCACAGAATGTCAGGGGCTGGAAGGGACCTCAAAAGATCATC